AATGATGCTATTCATGAACGTGTTTATGTTAGCGATTGTTTACTGACATTCCTCACATAAAAAACGCATGAGAAACGCTCTGGAAAGAAATGATACAAACCTTATAGCCCTCTGCTCATTCAGGATGTTTGTGACACTTTTCTCATAATACAACAAACAGAAAGGTTCCACTAAGGGTTTTTGCGCTATTTAAACAGATAGAATACCTTTTAAAAAGGGAATCAAGAGCAAATGAGTTTCTTAATGCTATATGACTTGCATTTCTGATCTTTAATGCTCATTCTTATTGTAATTTTAGCGAAACATGGTAGACATGGTGCACTATCAATAACATGAAGAAAGCGTAATGGGCAATGAGTAGATCTTGCAAAACTAACTAGTAAACACAGTAAGTCTAGAGAATGCTTTGAAACAAATTAATGCCCAACATATTGAGAAAAAGTACCCACAATAGCAGCCTATAATTATTTTTCCCATTTTTGCTGCCGCTTCTTCAGCGGATTACCATGCGCAAGGAACTAGATTACTACTTCTCTTTTGTTGGTGCATTTTTTCTCCCAATCCCTGTTAATATCTTTTCATGACTCATTGTATACTGGCACTAAAAACGATCAACCCAAAGTACTTACAGGTATTATAATCTATCAATTTTTAACGCAAAGCAAGATGTCTTTTTTCAAAACTTGTCGTTGGCCAGGCATACATAAGAGAAACAATTTACCAGTTGGAAGCCAAATGGCATCAAGAAATCAAGAGTTTAGCAAATTGTCTTGAAATTAGAAGGAAAAACAGTCATCACCTTACAAGTGATGGCTTGACCAGAAAATCTTGCAAAAAGATTCAGAGTTCCTTTCTTTGTTATATTGGTGAGTTATGCTTAAACACCACTGCAGTTTGTGCCCTTTCCAAAAACTTTTTGAGAATGTACCGATTATCTCATGCTCTTCTTTAACCATAACTATTTCCAATGAATACGATCAATTGCGCTTAACGGGTGGCTCTGCTTCTTCTTCATTTCGGCTGCGGCCATCAATATCAACATGTTCAACCGCTTCACATAAGAAGACAGAGGTTTTAAAGGTAGGCTTCGCTTAGAACGGTCATCTTCAGAGGATCCGTGTCGATCGAATCCATCAACGTACTCCGAAAACCACCTACATCAACAATCATCTTGAATCCTCTAGATTTGGAAACCTTACCCAGTTCCCACACTGGCGCCCTGACCTGAGAGCACAAGGATGTGCCTCACCAACTGTCACTCGCACCTTCTTCCACGTCATTGCTAAAATCTTTGGATCAACGAAAACAACAGCTCGACATTCTATAATTCCAATATGACTCTATGTTGAGCCGTGCGGCTCC